GGTGCCCCCCCGCCTCAACCGGTTGGTGCCGCAGGGCCGCGGCGACGCGTCCCGCTGGGGCGGGCAGCGGGGCAGGGGCTGAGGACGGACACGGGAGGGACCCCCGGGCACAGCAGTAGGGCCGGGGCAGCTGCTGCAGGGCAGCGGGCTCAGCAGAGCGGGCTCTCGCCCCTCGGCTTCCTGCCTTTCTCCGAGCTCATTTTTTTCCCATTAAATAACCACTGTGAGCTGTTTCTCTTCCTAATTTAGCACGCACCGCCACGCTCATTGTTTGTGTTTTGTTTCGGTCCCTTCCCCACCGCAGCAGCACGAAGGCCGCTGCATTACCTGCCTCCCCTCCGATCTTTTTGCCATTTAAACTGTATGTGAATCAGCAGCGCTGCCCGCATTCATTTCTAAATATAAGGGAAAGCTGGAGTTGGAAGCACGCGTCGGCTCCTCCGTTCACGAGGGTCGGACCCGAACACGGGTGCTTGAGCAGAGCGGTGCCGCTACCGGCCGGACGTCAGAGCCTCGAGAACGGAGGGGGACTTGGCAACGGCCACGTTTCGGTCTGACATCGGACCCACAGGCAGCCTGAACGCTGGGGCTGTTGGAGCCGTTTTTAAGCCTGTTTCAAGTATCATTTGTTGTTTTTTTGTTCTCTTAGACAACTTCAGGTTCTCCCAGACCTTCTTCTAAACAGCTTCGCCGATCAACTCATTCCCCAGGTTCCCAAGTCCTGCCTAACCCCCCCCGCTCACGCAGCACCGGCACGAAGAGCGAGGGCAGGTACGGCCCCGCAGCCTTGAGCCTGGCGCAAACACCTGATGATGCTTTCACTTTTTAAACACTAATCAAAGGTTTCCACGGTAACCTGCAGGAGCAGGAAGAAGATGGGAAATTACAGGTCAGCTCTCTCACTGAAAGCAAAAAAATTACTCAATTCCTTTGCCCTCCAAAAGTTTCAAGGTGACCTAGAAGTATTGATTAATCAGGTTGCATAAAGGCAGAAAATGTGCCCCAGAGCAGCCTTCTATTGCAGCAAAAAAATCGCTCTTAGTCCTTTAATACCAGGCTTGATCTGAAACCCAGAGAGGAGCTTAACCTCGGCGCTGCCTTCCCCAGCACCATCCCATTAAGAGCTCCGCTGTGCTCCCAGCAGTGACTGGGTTCCTCCCGCACGGCCGCACGGGCAGGGGTCGGCAGGGCCGTGGGTGGGGGAAAGCCCCCTCTGCCCCGCACCGCTCCGTCCGTCAGCCCTCGTCTCGCCCGCACACGGGTTTCCAGCCGCTCACCAACCAGATATGACTCAACACTGCGCACAGAGACCCAAGGAAACTTCTGCCCCTATTAACTTTCAGAGGAAGTGGAAAAAGGAGAGAAAAACACATCAGTCATAGACGTACTTTGCCAAGTGGTTCATGAGCAAGTGCAGCATCTGCCTGTTTTTCTCCGGGAGCCGATGCACGAGGCTGTGGATCTCTGACACCCTCGACTCCTGATTCTCCAGTTCTGCGTTGGAAATAAAAGATGATTTATCCCTGCATCAGAGGGGTTACTCTAGACAGAGGCATGCAGGCCTGCACATTAACCCCCACAGCCACCCCCGGGACCTGAGGCTCCCGCTCCCTACTCCACCCTGCACCCAGGCACGCTGTGGATAGTCTCCACAGCACTCTTCCTTTCTACCAACTCCAACCAGTTGTTTCCAAAAGGACAAAACTACGGGGCTGAAACGGCGAGCCTGGAGCAGATGCCAGCCACGTGGAAAGCCCGTTGTGAGCAGGGAAGGGCCTGGCTGCAGCCGGTGCCCCTCTGCCTC